TTATTGCAGTTAATTAACTACAATAATTGATTAATTAAATACATTATTCACTTATATCGTGTATTACATAGGTATTAGGCAAACTCCATCCACTATTATTTTTCACATTTCTAATTAGATATGACTTTGTTTAACAATTAGAATAACTAGAGTAACGTTCATATGTGAAAACTCGTTTTGTATGAATATCAGTAATCAATGCGTCGATGTGTAGTGCCTTCTTCATCTCTACTGATAGTAATGTGGGGTTCTCAGGAAAAAAAGTTCAAGAAAAACTTCAATTGATAAGTACGCATAGTTAATTCGTTCACTATCTTATCTGTTGCTATTTTTATAATTGCACCTAAATTTTATATTTCAACTACGCAATATATATCTATATATATATATATATATATATATATATATAGATATATATATATATATATATATATATATATATATTTATTTATTCAAGACTAAAAATCTACACGATATATAAAGCTAGATTATTATATTTTTTGGGGACGGGAGATCTCAAAAATAGACTTATCTAGATGGGATGAATTAAATTTTAAAATGAGAAGGAGTTAGTCGAGGGTGCGGTCAAATAAATAAAAATATTAAAATATATTAATTATTTTAATTTTTGTCGACGTTTCGACCCACTTTGCAGGTCGTCTTCAGGGCGTAGGATGTGGCACTGCGGGAGGCAGTTGAAACACTCAAAATTGAATGTTTCAACTGCCTCCCGCAGTGCCACATCCTACGCCCTGAAAACGACCTGCGAAGTGGGTCGAAACGTCTGCAAAAATTAAAATAATTAATATATTTTAATATTTTATTTATTTGACCGTACCCTCGACTAACTCCTTCTCATATTATATCAACGGTCAACCATCTCTACATCATTATAAATTTTAAAATGTTTACAAGTTGATCAAGATCCGGCGTAGCTTCTTTGGAAACTAAGGAACTGTCCCAGATCCTTTGTTTTAAACCCCAAAACTGTACCGTTTTCTGGAAAAATTGTTAGTCTTGCCTAAAGCCTCTAAGATGATACAGGATACTTATCAAATGTTAAGTTTAAAATATTGCCATTCATGATAGTTTCCTACGAATAAAAAATCTATTGAAAAGATAAATGTAGAAGAATAGCTTGATGATTCTTTGGACATTTCAGATAATATGGAAATAAACTGTTTGATATTTTTAATAACTACGGAATATCCAGGAATGGCTTTCAAACTCTCAGTCATAGACTTCTATACTCTAGAACATAGGTGGGGAACATTTTTATCATTAGAAGCCGTAGTAAGGTTTGGCAGTAATAATTATTTATATTTTACCGTTGCTATGATTATTAATAACTAAATACACATGCTCAATTTAATTATATTAATTTCCGAATTATCGTTACTCAAATGATTAAATATTAATTAATTATTGCACTAGATTAATAAATATCAAGCAAACACGTTTGGAGGTAGAAGGTAGGTAGAAGGATGGCTATCTAATGTTAGTTCTCACTGTGGTAGGCTAGTATACTATATAATACCCAAGTACTTATTGTATAATTTCTAAGTAACATTGTGGTATACAATTTGTGGTTTGGTGTTGAGATTTGAGACATAAAGTTATCCTCACACTTTATCTCCGGCTACGGAGCTCTCACTCCAAGCAGAATTTGTAGTCCGTGGTGCAAACCCCTTTTTATCAATTTATTAATATCCGGCTGAATCTTCGTGAATAGCTTCATCTCATCGTAACCTACAGATATTTATTTACGAAAAGTCTCGGAATTGGGGCGTTTTCAATCTGGAGATCGTCAAGCTTTGTCTATTTAATTAGGTACTAAAAACTCGTAAATACCCATTTTCTTTCCACTTGAATCGTAAGATATAACTCGAGAAAAAAAGGTGGCCTTCAAAAATATTGAGCCGTTTGGCGTGACCTACACCCCCAAAATGTCAAAATAACTAGGTATTATAGGCAATATATTTTTAAATATATTTTGTAGGTTACCTTTTTTCTCGATTTTTTTATAAAATTATCTTAAGATGCAAATGGAAAGCAAATGGATATATACGAATTTTTACTACATAATTAAATAAACAAAGTTTGGCAATATCCAGATAAATAAAAGCTCCAATTTCAAGAGCTATTTACGAAGTTTCAGGCTAATGCTAATAATTTGATAAAAAGGGGTCTGTACCACGGACTATTGCCCTAACACTTTCGGACTTTGTAAGTTTAAAAAGTACTTACACCACTATTTCTAACAAAGGTAAATGTTCCGTTAATAGACACTTTGAAAGAAATTTTCAACACTATTGTGAATCACAACTAAGTTCTGGCGGTGGATCTTTGCAAAAGGGCTTAGTTGATAGAAAATTCAGTCTTTTTCCAATTTCATTCCTGAAAAACTTAGGAAATTCTAATAGCCTATTTTGTACCTGTAATATGCACCCAGACTTATATAAATAATTAATTTTAAAAAAAATTCTATACAGTTATCAACATGGAAATGTCAATCTCAGATGAATAAATCAAAATTTCAGACCTATCTCCTAAAAAAAAGGCATAAAAAAACCTCTCTAACAGTCTTGTTCCATTAAAAAATCAACTTAAAAAATTAACGGATTGGCTACTGTGGGATGATACCACTTGATGTTCAGGCATCAGCCTCTAGTATTCTAGCTTCAAATCTACTCGTATTTGCTCTATATTTTGTGCGTATAAAGCTTATCCTGTTAATGAGTTAAAACTGTTTATTACGGGTACTTTTGCCATGTATGGAATCAGTATGTTTAGGTATTGTTGATTTTTTTTTTACCTCCTATATTGTGGAAGCGAAGGATCTGATTTGTTTAACAAAGATACCGAACTTTTAGAATTTTCAGCACCATTGGCATTCAAGCCCACTTTTTGACGGACCTCCCAGGCAGCGGCTGGAATACCAATGACCAAGTAACCCTTCATTTCCACCTGATGTTGCATGTGGAAGTGGGCACCTCTGGGAGCGAAGGCATGAGGACATTGCTATTCCACGATACACCTCCATCTCATGACGCTGACCTTCGGGGAGGGCGGCACATGGGACAGAAAAATAAAATGAGGATTCGCATTCTTAAATAATGAATGAATTGTTTCAACTAACATTAGTTTTAGCCATGATGTCAGCATACAAAGCTGATGCGATGCACGTGTTGACAGCATAATGAGGAGTTTGCATTGGAACTATTTCAATTTTATAAAATTTAATATTTATACCGGTTCTGTAAATCAATCTTTGGATTCAGTGATCCATTGTTATTGCTATTACCTCTGGATCCAAGTGAACTGAAAAAACCCACTGAAAAATGGAAAATAGTAATCTCGGATAGAAAGGGGTGCAGAAGGATGTTGAAGGTTTTAAAGATCTGTTAAACCAATAGATGGGGAAAATTCAATTAAATTCACGCTTCACAGCCGTATGCAATTTTAAAATATATATATTAATAATTCATAATGTATGTTATATTTTTTGCTTTGTTTTATTGAAATAATATACCGTTGGCACTTCTCTATCATTAGGTTTGTGCTTTCCATACCTTATAGTTTTTCCTATGAACTAATAACTTATAGTCTACCAAAGATCTCTTCTTCGGTATAATATCTTCTGGTAATAACTCTAATAAATTATCAAGCCTTCCACAAGTATTTAGTTCATTCTGATACGCAACCACTCCGCTCCAAAGACAATTAAAGAAAACTTATAAGGAAATTCAAGGATGAATGCACATTCCATTATTTTTACTTGCTCGAGTTCTATTATTTAAAGGTTATCAATAAGTCATTTGGAATTATGTTTCAACTTTGTCGTTACTTAACAAGTTTAATTATTATAAACAGAACTATCCAATTGCATCCAATTAATAATTTGCTAATTCAGTCGTCTTCAAGGAGTTCTTCATTAATTTTATTAAATAAAATATCTTCTATTATTATCAACGATCATCCTATCACATTCAGCTCCTCTGTTAAAAACTTAGGGATCGCCATTGACTAAAACCTCTCCCGGAATCTCCATATCGCCCATTTCAATAGGTATGCTTAAGTTATTTCGTCACTCCCGTCATCTACTTCAATAATATATCCGCAAGCTTCTTGTATCCTCGCTCCTTTCCCCTCAATCTAACAACGGCTGTGTGGTATACGGTGGCGTCCCGAGTGTACTCGAGGACAGATTGATGCGAATCATGAACTGCTTAATACACTAGCGGATCCAGCATTTAATTTTGGGGGGAGGCTTCAGTCCGAAAGCTTTTTTCTCATAAAAATAACGATAATTACTTTAGAAAAACAGAAAGAAACTAACTGCTTATATGAAATGGTGTTTAAGTGATTCCTAAGTTAATTTTAAATATAATTACACGAACAATAATTCTTTAAGAGGTATTTTTAAATTTTTTTTCTCCATAAAACATAGTTTTATTTTACCATTTTGGGGGGCTTCAGCCCGAAAGTCCTCCTCCCCGTAGATCCGCCCGTGGCTTAATATGATTTGTCATCGGTACCTGGAGACCGTCTCACTTGTACCACCTTTATGTTTCCCGCCAATAGCACTTTCTTGTTTGGATCTTACCTGTTCCAAATGATCAATTCCAGGCATCCTTCCTACATATACAGTCTCCTACAATTCAAACCCGTAGTCCACTTATAGAAAACAAGACCCCGTGTTTCTGACCTTTTCATATCACATTTGTACGTTATTTAGAATTTTAATCTTTAATTGAAATACTCCTTTATTTAAAAATAAAAGAGGTATATTAGTCACTACCACGTCACTACTATTCGCTAGGACCAGCAAGTATATTCGAAATATGAACATATCGGATATGTAGCTCGATGCAGATTTTGTATGCTGGTGTTTGCCTCTTGCAATGTTTCACGTCCTCATTCGTTACCAGGTTTGGTCCTCCGCGTGTTACGCGGTTCGGACCGATATATAGTGGAATAGGAACAGGTAGCTTTCTCCTTCAGAGTCGGTATTTATTAAGGTGGGAGCGGAGGAAGGAGAGGAAAGAGGAAACAGACGCAGAAAGGGCAAGTGGGAGAGAGCTGCTCGTATCCGGGTCATCTGGTCTCCTGCGTGCCTTCACCTGCTTCTTGGTCACTGCCTCTTCTGTTGAGCCTCTTCGGCTCCCTCCTCAGCAGCCGCCTGTCTGGAGAATATCTTTCTTATTTCTTAATGCTGTTTTTGGTCGGTACGCTATGTCTTCCTTCATTCTTCATCAAATCCAATGATTGACCCCTCTTTTTGATCATCTTCTTATCCTTCGAAGTCACATCTCCCGAAATTTCAGAAAGAAATGTTAGAAAGTAGAAGAAAATTATTTGCGATTAACTTAAAAAGTACATATTGTTTGTTTGTTGTACCCATAATTATTGGAATGATTACTAAGTATGCAAAAAAATAAAAATATTCTGGCTTAAAACATAAACGAAGTTTTATAATAATTTGCTTTTCCTTGATTGATTACAATTATTGAAAATATAATTATGGTTTCTTCATCTTATGATGTGTTTAATCATTCAATTTCCTTATTATTTTGTCATTAGTTCACTGCGGAATATTCATTGCGAATTATTCGCCCGAGCTAACTAGTAAAAGAAGTGTGGGCTAATATTGTGCTTGAATTTATTGACTTTTGAATAATATGCATTTTTTTAACTTGAGGTTGTAGTTCATTGATATTCATGCTCTACAGTAAAAAATAATCGGATATTCACAATCTATTCGATATGAGTTTGTATTAATTAACTACAAAACTCAAAAATGCACTAAGACATGAACTGCTTTGAACAGGTAGGGCCATCCCTCCTCCACCAAGTTCGATGATGTATAATTTTTTTTTATAGACCCAAGTATAATTTTTTTGTTTTATAGAAAATTTAATCATCTTTCAAATAATACGTAAAATGAAAATAGAAATGTTTACCTTTTCAGTTATTCGATAATAAAGTTTCTTTTCCTCCATAATTCGTGAAATTTTGGAATAGGAGGGAGAAAGGTGACTAATTTTCCCACCTTCAAAATGAGAGATCAATCATTTAATTTCAAGAAGAATTGAGGAAGATGTGTTGCACCAAAAAAAAAAAAACACTTTTGAGAAACAACATACAAAGATATTCGGTCGTACTAACGGTTATTTAGATGTGTTACATACTCGTCCTGAAAGATTTCTAACGATAAATCGCTCATCAACTTCTTCCCTGATGGTCCAATGTAACGTAGAAGACAACTCCTACTTTGGAATTGTTACCTGAAAGGTTGGATATTAATGACTTGGATCGGAACCCTTTGATAAATGATTTGTCCGAATCGGATGAAACAAGTTGCATCCATCCACTTTCTCCGTCCCCTGTAATTTCATTACTTGAAGGTTAGCCACAAAAAAAACCTGTTTGTTCCCTCGATTTTAAGCAAACATGAAAAAAAAAAATCTAAAAAGTATAAACTACAACTTTTATTATAAGTCACCAATAATATTCTTACTTATTCGATACATTAAAAAACGCAAAATACAAATTATAATGTATGGTGAAATATGGTAGAATCTTATAATAGTTTTATTTATTAACTAATTAAGTTTTGGAATATTAAAAATTGTTCGCATTATCTCAAAAGTGTTAATATAGTGAAAATGTGGTATATAAATGGGATAATAAATATAGTTTTATAAATTAACGATTTATTTTACTATGAATTAATTAAATCGATTACTTTATTTCGTAATGTAACGTTATATTACAATAAAGGGCAACAGTTATGTATCATGAGAAAAGAATACATTCATAACACACCTGGGTAAAAAGTATTTTTATTATTATTTTTAAATACCATGTATTTTGTGTTTTTCAAATACAAATTACAAATAATTTTGTGTGTTTAAAATACAAATACTAATTTTGTAAAAGACAATAGTTTCAAACAATCTATTTTATATTTTATTTCTTAAAACACGAAATATAAAAAATGTATATTATTTTGTATTTTAAAATGTTGTATTTCAATTACTGCCTTGTTCTGATTCATACCACATAAATAACAATTAATCGAAATTTCGAATTAGGTACTAAAAATGTTTTATATTATATCGTACAACGTTTTAGTATAGTGTAAATATGTTTAGCGAATAAAAATAAGATATTCATGAGATTATAATAAAATCCATTATTTCTCCTATATCTAAATTGGCAACGAAATATTCTCATTCTCATATTTATTTAGTTGATTTAAAAATTATTTTTTATTACTAAGTCTGTAAATTGCTTATATTGAACAAGACTTTCGAACTGAAGTCCCCTTCCGAAATGGAAAAATACATTTTTATTAATCGCTCCACATTTATTTAGCTGTCAGTGTGATAAATACTTAATCTATCAAAATATATACTCTTTTAAAACTGTATCGCATGTATTTCTGCTACTGAATGTAAGCCACGTAAAAAAAAAAGTACATAAGTATAAACAAAAATTACTCCTAAAAGATTATTTTTCCTGTAAACACACAAGTATTTTTTTAAATTTTATTTATTTATTTTTGACAGGCCTTAAAGGACCACGTAAAACATTATTTTATATAGTTTTCTTTTACATCTTCCAGAGTAGTTACCGTAAATAAAAATATAATTTTTATAATCAACTAAAAATATAGTAAATAAAAAACAAAAATTATATACTGGATTCACTACTGCTCTTTCATAATTAAGGGTAGTATTTATTTCTAACAAAAACCACTGCGATAAGTCATATTATATTTTGAAAAGTACCATAATTTTAATTACAATTGGTATAATTTAGAAATATAATTAGCATCTTGTCAAATATTAATTTAATTAACAGGTATTTTTTTTAATTAAACAATGTCATACGTTTAACATAAATTCAATTGATCGAAATATGCATGATATATACCTTTTGGTACTATATATGCACAAAAATCACATTTTGGCCAAATATGCAACGACTCATGCTTTTGGTAAAGTGGTGCAAAACAAATTATGGATTTGAATACAAATCCGGGGCTTATTCAGATCTTACATATTTTGAATGATTTATATCTTTCAACATCAAATGAACGTTGACCAAATGGAATCCATTACACTTTTGACATCAATTTCTTTATTTATTTAATTTTATGTATATTTTTACTCAATGATTTCCTTATTTAATTTTTTTTAGCCGTTTTAATATTATGGTAATGATAGTTAAAAATTAAGAGTTTTTTTTTTCGGCCTGATTTAGAAGTTTGGCCTAGATCTGTTGTTCTATTTTTAAGAAACCTTATTTCAGCATAGGCTCTTTTTATTTTTTGTTTACATTTAAGCCAGTTAAAATTTTAGTGCATAATATTTTTTTATCGAATAATATTACATTATGTTTCAATCAAGGACGATGGTAAAAATAATGAAAGAGTACATTAACACCATATTTACAAAGTATTATAAATTAATTAAATAATAAATAAAAACATGCAAAATGGTAAAAATATTCTAATAAAAACATATAACGCTAAAATAATATAAACATGTTAAACTGAAGCATATATATACACTATTTACAATCAGACAGAGGAACCCCAAACTTGGCTTGCCTTTTAAGGGAAAATCAAGACTCCTTTAGATTTTTCACAAGTTCATCGATTTGATAGTTCTCTTCAATCAAAACCTCAAAAAGATTTGAAGAATTTAAAGCTCCATAAATATGTAACCTATTCAAAAATTCATAATTCCATTGAAATGTGTCCCCTCAACTATTGTTATAGCGTAGCTTGAAAATTTACAACATGCATCCTCCTTTGGATTGTGACTTTTGAGGTTACAAAATTAAAATGGAAGATGAGAAGGTCCCTTTTCCAGCTGAATAAAATGGCATTTGGACTTGCTTCCTCAACAATCGCCCTTACGAGGAATGGGTTTGTTGACGTGTATTCTCGTTCCACTTTTATGACTGCGTCATTGTCGAGGTATGTGTCACAGTTGGAGAAAGTGAAATGAGAATACATTTTGGTCGTTAATGCTCCAAGTGGTGCGTGTCTGCAACGACGTCTTTCCTAGAACTTTCTTGTTTCAGTCTGGAAGGCCCAATTTTAGTTTCAGCAAAATTAGTTAGCCATCATGTCATCTTCGAATGCGGTTTCAAAATGACAATTTCGGCTAACTTCAAACCGATTTTTAGGAATTGAACCAGATAATTTCTTATGAAAATGGAATTATCGAAGAGACGATGTCTACGGTAAAATATCAAATATCGGAAGGAAAATATCAATATTTCGATAATATCGACTATGGCCATCCCAAGTTACAACTATGAAGAATAAAGGTAATAGTGCAAAGAGGTTAATAGATATTTATATTTATATGATAGGTGTGTCTGGTTCCCCCACATAACGTATATTATTAAAACATTTATAGAAGTTCAGTTGAAATCGCAAAATGTTGCAAATATTTCATATGTTGTTTTTCTAGTTGTTCTAGAACTGATATTACGTATGATGTCTTTAGCCTTAGCGTATTGATTTATGTATGTAAGAATGATATGACCCGAAACGAGAATACCATGCTATTTGTGCCACTCCTCAAAGGTAAAAACACGCACCGTTTCTTTCAGAGAAACTCTCCACTGAGTTTTGGAACCGAAGTTTTTCACGGAATTCACTCAGTTCACTTATTCATGGAAATCATCGGATAACTTACAGCTTGTTTGACCGTCCTTTATATCTTAGTCCGTGTTACGGACCTCTTTTTTTGAATTATTAACATCTGCCTGAAACTTCGTAAATAGTTTCATCTTACCGTAACCTACAAATATTTGATTTCCAAATATTCTCAGAATTTGGTCTTTTTCAATCTAGAAGTCAACAAACTTTGTCTATTTAATTAGGTAGTAAAAACTTGTAAATACCCGTTTGATTTCTTTTTGGATCGTGAGATAATTTGATCACAAATTCGATAAAAAAGCTAACCTACAAAAATATTGGGCCGTTTGACCTATATAATCTCGATATTTTTACAGTTTGGGGGTGTTGGTCTCGCAAAACGACTACATATTTTTGAAGGCCACTTTTTTTCTCGACTTAGTGCTCAAATTATCTTACGATTCAAGTGGAAAGCAAATGGGTATTTACGAGTTTTTAATACCTGATTAAATAGGCAAAATTTGTCGACCTCCAGGTTGAAAACGTCCCAATTTCGAGAATTTTCGTAAATAAAATATTTGTAGGTTTGGATGAGATGAAGCTGTTACTATTTACGAAGTTTCAGGCGGATGTTAATAATATAATAAAAAGGGGTCTGTACCACGGACTACCTACATACCAAAAATCAATTCGGTTCCCAAAATAATATAAATAAATATATATATATATATATATATATATATATATATATATATATATATATATATATGGTCCATGTTTCTTACTAACTATATAATTTTAGCTTACTCTTATATAATGCAGTTAAAACTCTTAATATTGAAGAGATAAACTGGGTAGGTACATTTTTCTTTTGCTTTGCTCTTAAAATTACCTTATTTAGTAACATTGGGCTGCGAGGTTTTGTCGGGAGGCAGTTCGCTACTCACGATGAAAAACTTGCCGATTCATCGGATTTAATCATCATTTATATAATTTCCTCCTATTACAGATATGGATTTCATCTATATTAGTGTGTGGATCGTATACTTCAAAACATGAGAGCCAAATGAAATTAGGTAGTATGATATTGTATAACTGGCTATATTAAGACTTCTTTTAAGAGTCAGATAAAAAAAAAACCTTTTAAGTGTCATTGAAACCGTTGTTTTTTGTTGTTGTTTTTTTCGCGATTCGTCCACGTAGAAAATATCCTTTTCAAAAGGATTATTTAAAAAAAAAATGTGATTCACTCATCTATATGACTACAGTTGATTGTTCCTAAATATTGTCATATATGTCAACCATAATTTTTTTTATTTTTTATTCTTTCATATTTATGAATATCCTAATCTTGTATTGGTACTCTAACAGTCAGGGCAAAATGTTAGGTTAGAATATTTCTAAATTGACCAGAAGTAAAAAGTTATATAAGAAATGAAAAAAAAAATAAGGATGCCAGATGAGATGAGAGAGAACCCCGAAACGTTGGATATATAAGTGAAAAACATGAGTAATATAAAATTTAATCCAGGAGAAAGATTTAAGTTTTTTCACATACCTTCAAGAAACTAAACTATATTACATTATTATTTATATTTTTTTTTACTGGATTACTTGTTTATTGATAAATATTACAATCTGTCTCAATAAAGGACATTTATAATAGAGTTCAGAGATCGCATTCACGTCATATTTACAAAATAAAAAAATAAATAAGGTAATTATAACATTATTAGTTAATATAGTTATTTAGCAAAGTGATCATTCATTTTATTATTTTATCTTCTATCCACTGCATTTTTACAGAATATATTTTAAGTCTCAAAAACATAAATGAATTCTGCTGAAATAATTGAAAGTCGTTATATTGAAAGAATGAAAAAAAAAATACGATTAATAATTTGAATGTTTTCTTATTTTCCATTTTTTCATTTTAGATATTTCTATATTATTATAATTTACTTAAATAGTTTTCATGTGATTGAGTTTATCAGTCATTGTACACGGTGAGGGCTATTTGGGGATAATTTTTGTACAACCTTTAACATTTAAACAAAACCGTTTGCCAAGTAGGTCAGTATGGTATTGATACTAAGGCATTTGTACACTTCTCCAACTTTAGGCCAATCCCAACGAGTCTTTTTTTTTTTAAATATAAGCATATCAATGAAAATATATTTTACATCAATATTTATAACTCAATGAATATATATTCAACAATCCCTTAATTTTCACCATGTGTAGCCAAATCTAATGTACCGTTTTTGAAATTTAAGCGTATCAAAGATGAAAACAGAAGGCAAATAAATTAAGTTTGCCCAAATGTTAGCGAAAGTATTGGATAGAATTCGAAAAAAAATTGTTAAGCAACATTTTTCATTAATCTTCACCTTGGCGCCAAATCACCTCCAACTTGGTGCCAAATCGAACGAGCCATTTTTGAAAGTTGGTCTCAAAAAATACATTTGTACACCCATAAGCGGCAGTAGTGGATAGAATATTGGTTTAATCAATTTCCAATCAGTACAATCCCTTAAAATTTCATGGAAATTGATGCAGGGGTAACTTTTAACTTTGGCATTAATCCCCAGCCTTCTCTCCTGTTCCGAAAAAAAAAAACCGTATATCCAAAAAAGACGAGGAAGCGGGGAAAAAAGTACCAATTTTTTTCCTTAGTATACAAAACTTAAAACACCACAGGAAAGTTTTTATACTGGAGATAAACATTTCGTTTACTTCCAATATCCAAAAGTTTAATAAGTGTAAGAAAATGTTGAACCACTGATTAAAAATTAAATTAAATGTTAATTTAGAGAAGCATCAGATTTACTATTATCAATCTTGTCAGACGTATACATTAAACAAATTGTTATTCATGGATATTTTGATATAATATTTGTTTCTTTGGTCATGTTTCCTGCTTGTTAATAAAATTAAAACAGAGTATGTTATCTGTATCGACAATCTTTATTTGGACAAGGCCAATTGATAAGGACTCAACTATTTATTATATTTGTTTGCCAACAACTCGTAAAATAATCGATCGTAATTGAAAATACATATGTATATTTAAATTAATTCTAGCTGATAATTAAATGAAAGGATCGTTGAGATAAAATATTTTAACAACTACGTATGCATTGTATTGCAATGATGTATGCAGATGTTAACGCATAAAACATTTCATAGATAAGATCTTATCCATGGCCTTACATGATAACCTCTTGACTAATTTTTTGCCAATATTTACTTTTTTATTTGAATGAAAACCTTTATTTGTAGAAATACTCTAAATAAGTTAAATGTCGATTTCTTCACCAAATCATGTGAGGCAATTTTTATTAGCTTTCAATGAGGGATTTATAGGAAATGAATTTTGAATATAAATATATTGTTTATTTTTGAACAGCTTCATATCGTACATGCTAAACGTTTCGTCGCGTGCATTATGTGGTGAGATATATGCAAATAGCATTTTTTACATTCGGTGGTTTAATATCGTTAGGGTTGGACGATATATTGTAAAAAAAAACGTTTTATTTTTTTACAAAAATAATATCACTGTTGAAGTAATAATATATTTTTTGCAATGTCCCAGATAATTCACAACAGATCATTATTATCATTGATGACGCTTGGTGGAGGCATAGTGTCTCTACAAGTGCGTTCTATTCCTTTACCTTTTTTTTTTTTTTTTTTGTTTCAACCATTTTCCTTTTGATCAATTCCTGCCTCAGCTTGGCTCATTTCATTTTGTATATATCTGCGGCATATCATCCTTGGCCTTCCTCTTCTTGTTCCATGGTTATTACATAGCAAAGTTTCTTTTTCGAAGGCACTATATGGTCTCCTTAAGTTTGTTCTATCCATTTCCTTTTATTGTTCCTTATATCGAGGTAGATAGGAAGCTGCGCAGTGGTACTCTTAGGCAACCCGATCTCCAGGATTATTCGCATGCAGCAATTGCTGAAGGTCTGAAGGCAGTGCCGTCCTTAGACTTTCGGCACACTCAGGTAATGACGTCGTCTCCGATCCACCTAAAAAAATTAAATTTATTTCGTAAACTCTTTTATATTGTGTAATATTTGAATATCATTTCATTCAAAATTTCTCTAATACAGTTGCTTTATTGATAGGCTAAAATCCCACCCTAAGGCCGGCATTGTCTGAAGAGGTCGGGTAACAGTTTCATTCCACCTTCCATGTTTCACTACCTTAGAGCAGGTTCTTATTAAACAGTCTTATTTTTGTTTTATTGTAACCACGCTTCTCTAGCATATGAATGAATGGCTCTAGGGTATTGCTTCTCAGAACAGGTGGATTCTGACATCGCTTAATTAGATAGTAACAATTAAATAATTAATTCA